TTTTTATCTCTGGTTCGCTTTTGGTGTGGCTCTAAGCGGTCAATCTGAGGTGGGTGTGCACCATGTTGCCTGGCAGTGGGCGGCTTGATGGCTGCGTGGGTTGTGTGGTGAAGCCTGTTGTAGCGGATAAAGATTAAGACTGTTGCTGGCATTTGACTCCTGATCCAAAAAAAAATCCCCTGCTGTCTATGTCTGCCCCTAAAATTTCTGCTACCTATATTCTTGGGTTCCTGTATTAAAATATGCTATTTTAATATACAGCTTAAAAACTTCCTTAAAGAAGTGTCATTTCCAAGCCAACGCATATAATCGTCATATAGTGAACTGTTTGTCACGCCTCTATTGTGACTGAAAATGAAACATGGATAATATGTGGATAAAAACGTTCAGTCAAGAAATGCTCTGGTGATGCTTTTCCCTCTTTCTCTCTCTTTGGATTCTGCAGAGCCTTTAATGCTTGCCTACTTTAGAAATGACCTCTTAGTCTGGTCAGTCGTGGTGTGCCCCGGTGAGCGTTTCACCAATGAGGAAACCGTCTAGTGCAGGGGTTGGTATATTATTACCCCGCTCAGCTGCTCTGTATAGAATCTTACCTGCCCTTTGTATAAGTATTATCTGTATTTTCTAAACCAAATGCAATGTTGTGTGTGTGTTCTACTGGCGCTGAATTGGATGGCGGCCGTCCCCGATGATGCTCCCAGGTTCTGGATTGGGTTCTTTACCCTTTACTGTTAACCCTCTAACTCCCACTGGTAGTACTAACTGTGACACAGGTACCGCACTTATACCTTTTTTTTTTTTACATACAATTTACACACATTGCCACTGACCAAGTCGTTCGCATGTACTTTACATGAATGGTTTTTTTGTGTTTATTCAGCTTCTCTTCCTCATGCCATCAGTACACTAAAATAAATTGTTAAGGATCTAGTGTGGGCTATGGTCCTGATATGGTCAGCTGATAGTGAGTTGATTGCATTCGGGCACACATCTGTTGTGTCCTGCTTTATTTCACTGAGGCTTGCTTAATATATATATATATATATATATTTATTAAATACATTAACTTGTCAATTTTATGATAGCATTGCCAACTTTGGTCAGTTAGCAGGAGTGAGATTTTGTGTTTGGATTAAAAATAACGGCCTCCTTTGCAATATTATTATCAGATATTCATGCCTTCAACCGGTCTGTTTTTTTTTTTTTTTTGCCAGTCTCTTGTTAAACATTTACAGTACAGATGTCCGACTATATTCGCCAACCGATATTATCAGCCCGATATTAGCAATTATTTTTTAGTATCTGTAAGAATCGTTAGCAGTTTTTTACTCTGATAATTAAAAAACCCCGGTTTCACCAATTGATTTGTGCCCTAAAAATAGTTTCGCTATTTAGTGATGCCATCTAGTGGCAGCATTGCAGCTCATTTAATTAAGTATTCAGGATGTTGGTGCTAGCAACGTAATACAGTGGTTTGTACAGATAAATAAATAAAGAAATACTATCAGTCCTATAGCAATATCAATTGATGTCAGAACCAGAAATGAAGGGTTTTGGACAATATCGGTATATTGGTTTTCAGCAAAATGTTAATATTCGAACATCCCTAATTTACAGCATTGGACAACAGGCTACGTTAACATGGTAGACACACACTTTAACATGGTAGAATTTAGACGATGCTGTCCAGCTCAAGGGTCAAATCTTATTGACATTTCAATGTTGTATAGATGGTGGTCCTCTTCATTTGTGCAGCTTAACCCTTTCATGCATGACGGTCACTACAGTGGACAGCTATTAAAATGTCATTTTCTATGATAAGAATAGGTTTTGATGGCAGTGTTGCATATAAGCCTCTACAGTGGACGCCTGAGAATCACCCAACACTGCCATACAGTGGTCAGCCTTTGCAACTGCAGAATAATTGTGTCAACATTCAAAATGAAAATTTGGTGTATAAAAACAGAACCAAATCAGTTCTTATTTTTATGTCTAAAAACACATAAAAACACTTAGTAACATTTTTTTTAACTCAGTATATCATGGGTCATGCATCAAAGGGTTAACAGAACTGACTGAAAGGGAATGTTTAAGTCACCACTTTGTTAGCAACAACGACAAACAACAGCCATTTTGAGATCTTTGAAGAAAAAAAAACTCATCAAGGTACAATTGCAAGGTATTTAGGGGATCTCATCATCAACACTCCATAGTAGCATCACAAACCTTCAGAGAATCAAGAATTGGCAAGGCTTTTGGATGGACATCCTCAGGACTGAATAGGAAAAGGTTGTTTTTTTTTACCGCAAAGTGAGTTCCCATTACAACTAGGCTGCCATCTGTGTAACGTCACTTTTAGGTTTACACAAAGTAAAGCTACTTTGAGCTACAACATGGTCACTAAGTAAAGCTACTTTGAGCTACAACATGCTCACTTTGTTGTTGTCAAATTATGCAGGTACTAGACTTCCGCCTGCCGTCCACAACTGTCTCACAAGGAAATGTTGTGCCAGATAATGGAACATAAATATGTACATTGAAGACCAATATTAATTAGTGTGCCGTTTTTTACTTACATTTCCACTTTGTCCCGACGTTATTGGAACCTACGTTCTTACATATGTTAATCCTGAAGAGTTGGGACTCTTAAGACATTCGAATTTGGAACTTGCCCTTTTATTGAAAACAAATGTCCATTGTCCCTTATATCTTGATAAACATAATCACACCGATATCCTTGCCTGCCTTAATTTATATGCTTTATGTGATTCCAACCTTGTAACAGGAAGGTTTATGGCAGAATTCTGACACAATATCTATTTGATACACTTGATGATCGCTTTCTCACTCCTCCAAGATAGCAAATCCTCCTCATCTTTCACTAACGCCCATTGCCTGTTTAAACTATCAGGAAATCTAGCAGGAGTTTAAAGCCAGCAATGTGTTAAACTAAAATGACGTCAGTGTTAGGATTGAGCTATCGTTTTTTTAAAACCTCAAAACCTAACAGCTGAGATGATTTATATTGTACACTGAATGTGTGGGTTATGTATAGAAAAAGTCATGAGTGTGAACTTGAGGTCTAGATGCAGTGCTAGGTAAACACTCTACGAGAAGCAGGAACGAATTCTTTCGAAATTTGTGGTAAACTTTTGGTAAACTATTTCGAACACGAACACGCTGTGAGCATCCTGTTGTCTGAGTTGATTGCGTATTTATTGAAACCAAAGTAAGAAGTAAGAAATACTGGTGGCAAATGAAAATACTTGAACGTGGCACTTGTACTTGTATCGGTGGAATACTAGTCCTTTGGACTTGTTGCTCTGGTGTCTGGTATAGGGTCGGACAAATTTTCCATCAGACGTGATAAATTGGCTATCATTATTTTCTCGCTTGTCTCTTGAACTGGGTCAAGAAAGGGATTCCAGCACTGAAATGACCTTGAGAAATGAGTCTGTCCACCCTCTGTCTTGTCTGCCGTTGAGACCTCAGCGCACTCTGCACAAGCAGAACACTCAGAGATTTAAAAATTCCTTGGATAACTAGGCCTCAATTGATCAAATGTGGCACACAAAATAATGTGGGATGGCTCTCAGAACACTGTTACTGGATTGGCCGGAACTTTCAAGTCAACATCTCAATCCATAAACAATTTAACCCTTTCATGCATGACGGTCACTACAGTGGACAGCTATTAAAATGTCATTTTATATGATAAGAATAGGTTTTGATGGCAGTGTTGCATATAAGCCTCTTCCTCATGCCATCAGTACACTAAAATAAATGGTTAAGGCTCTAGCGTGGGCTATGGTGGATTCTCAGGCGTCAACTGTAGAGGCTTATATGCAACACTGCCATCAAAACCTATTCTTATCATAGAAAATGACATTTTAATAGCTGTCCACTGTAGTGACCGTCATGCATGAAAGGGTTAAGAAAGAAATTTTCCAAACACCCTTGGTCTCCTTATAGATGCCACAACATGGTCATAAAAAATGTCCTGAGTAGCGCCCCCTGCATCCCAAGAATGCTTTAGTCTCGTAAGCTGTACCAATTCATGTACAGTGCAGGTAATGCACCTATATGATGACTATCGCTGTGTATTGTCAGGTACCTTGCAATACGGTACGATCAGGAAATTTTTTTTTTGCCAAAATAAAAATAATAATATCCAGGGATGTTTGAATTAATCCAACCAGGTTAAAGTTCCATTAAAAATCCTTGCCTGGCAACAAAAGAGTCTTTTTCAGGCCTTACGATGTGCAAACAATTTTGGGGGGGGATGTGTTATGGGCTCGATACACATCATTTATGAAATGCTAAATAGCACTGGTCGTTTTACTATTGTGTTTTCATTAATAATTTACCATTGATGCAATAACTGCAAATAAAAAGTTCCACGAACTAAGAACTGCTGCTAAGGTTTGTGTCCATAACAAACTGCTTTTAGCAAGGATGTAAATTGTGCCTCGAAGGGGAAAAAATGTTTTGGGTATTTTCTTTTTTTTTTTTTTTTTTTTTTGTTTTGTTAAGTTTTCTTTTTTCTTCGCAGGTCACAGTATATTCCTGTGATGGGAAGTGTCCCTCTGCAACTATTTTTAACTTCAACATTAACAGTCACGCCCGATTCTGCAAGTGCTGCCGGGAGAATGGCCTGCAAACCCGCTCGGTTACGCTTTACTGCTCTCGTAATTCCACAGTGGTGGAGTACAACTTTCAGGAGCCTCTGGAATGCACCTGCCAATGGCACTAAAGCATTAGTAAAGAAAGATTCAATGAAAGCTTTTGGGGGGATGTACGTTTCGCATTACTTACTGTACAAAAAAAAAAAGAAAATAGCCATGTTTTATGTACACATAAGTAGTACTTTGCAACACTAAACAGTGGAGGGTAGTTGTAATGTCAGATAGATCTACCGTAAGACACAAGTAGACAAGATTTGGGGGTTTTGTATTGTTTGTTTACCGTTCTTCACTCTTTTTCATTTCTACCTTTCCAGTTTAGTCAGTATCCATTTCAGAACCTTAATATTTTACAAAAAAAACCCCAAAAAACTCAATATGCAAAGTCAAAACTTCATTCATTATTTTCTATCAATTTATTGAACCAGCATCACAAATTTCACTGCAAATACACTTGGTCTTAAAAATGTACCGTATTTTCCGGACTTTAAGTCGCTCCGGAGTATAAGTCACACCAGCCAGAAAATGCATAATGAAGAAGCAAGAAAGTGTGAAAATAATTAACATGAAAATGTTCAATGGTACAGGAGTAGCCGATACTCGCGCACAAGCCTAGAGCGCCCTCTATTGGCTGTTAGTGTGAAAATAAAAATGTGAAATTATATATTTTATAATATATATCCCGCACCTGAGTTTACGTTGCAAACCCAGCCAAAGGATGAAAAAAGTGCGACTTATAGTCCGGACCAGAGGTGGGACCAAGTCATCGCTTTGTAAGTCATAAGTAAGTCTCAAGTCTTTGCACTCAAGTCCGAGGCAAGTCTCAAGTCAAGACAGGTAAAGTCCGAGTCAAGTCCAAGTCAAGACTAAAAAGTGTCAAGTCAAGTCCCAAGTCCTGCCGTTTCTGTTTCGAGTCCTTTTAAACACAATAATAATAACTTTACACAGATCACTTTGGGTTTTGGAGAAAGTATCAAGTCTTGTCGAGTCAAAGGGCCCGAGTCCAAGTGAAGTCACGAGTCATTGATGTTAAAGTCCAAGTCGAGTTGCAAGTCTCTTTACATTTAGTCAAGTCGAGTCTAAAGTCATCAAATTGATGACTCGAGTCTGACTCGAGTCCAAGTCATGCGACTCGAGTCCACACCTCTGGTCCGGACAATACAGTACTGTAATGCTCCCGGAACCCCCCCCCCCCCCCCCGTTTTTACCAAGTATAAATAAAAAATTACCAGTTTGGCAACAATCATACACAGTTCCCGCATATTTGGGAAAATCTCCGGTCATGCTGTTGCAACTTAACTTAGACTAGTCTCTTAAAGCAGAGGTGCCTGGGGTGCAAGTCCTGTTACGGTATGTCGCTAATCAAGATTAGTATAGTATGAACCAAATTTGGTGTGGCACAAATTATTGCATGGTTACAAATAAATAAAATTAGTTTATTTAATGTTCTTCCATGCAACAAGAACAAAAAAACATTTTTAATTTACTGGTATTCTGAATGTCTGCTGTGAGTTTTTTTTTTTTTTTTTTTGCGTTTAGGTTTGTGGGAAAATTACATGAAGATTCTGAAATGTGTGCCAAATCGATTGAAACTGTAATTGCTCTTGTTCGGTTTAGACACTGTGTATGTGAAATATAAGTAATAAATGTAGGTCTTTCACGATAACACTAAAATTCATTTCAGGTGTTTTCTGTTCCCTTCTATCTATCTATCTATCTCCCTATCTACCTATCTACCTATCTATCTATCTATCTACCTATCTATCTATCTATCTATCTATCTATCTATCTATCTATCTATCTATCTATCTATCTATCTATCTATCTATCTATCTATCTATCTACCTATCTACCTATCTACCTATCTA